CAACAATAACCAGATAGGCAAAGCAATGGAATAATTATCAACACTGGCAGACTACTACACCTGGGTCCGTACTTCACCACATGGATGGGATCAAACGGCGTTTCAACACCCCTACAAAATCTTCTGCAACAACAAAGCATTCCTTAACTACCGCATAGGAGAGGCCCATCACCCTAAGCGACCACATTCCGATAATATTCACAATTTCCACCAGCCCAATTCACACAAAATGCCACCAAGTCTCCAGATGAGCAAAACAGACTGGATGAAATATAAGGAGTTATTGAAAAACTACCCAGAAATAAATATAAAAGATGCCACACTCGAGGAAATTGTGGACCAGGTAGACAAGCTACACAACGCAGTAAAACAAGCAATCAACCAGACAACCTCATTAATGACTTTCAGAACCCTCCCGAGTAATAAACCCAACGAAGGATTAAAGAGACTACAAGTACAATATAATAACATAAGGACATATATACTAGAACAACAGGGCCCATTAGAGAACTACTCCGTAATATTAGAGAAATCAAACAAGGCCTACAAGAAGAGTCCAGACAAATTAATAACGAAAAATGAAACAGTCTAATAAAAAACCTAGACACCAGAGAGGACTCGAAAAACATCTGGCAAAACCTCAACAAACAACTTGGCACGAAAAAACAGACAATAAACTACATTTAAGCCAAAACAGAGGCCTTCAAAGGAAGATCTTTAGAATATCACAAAAAAAAAATGAAAGTTCTGACGAAGAACGCGAAGAATTAATTAAAGGTTGGCTAAAAGAACAAAGCAATAAACTGACTTCCTACCACACATGAAACCCAGAAAGACTAAGAACCCAATAACTTCATAAATTACGACGAACTACTAAACTGTCTACGCAAATTTAAAGAAAAATCGACTGGAAGGAGCGGCATAACCCGAAACATGCTATTAAACCTGCTCAGCAGACCAATGGAAGCCCTGATAAATATTTACAACTCAACCTTATTTGCTGGTTACTTTCCCGAAGCCCTCAAGCGGACAAAAACGATCTTCATTCCCAAAGAAGGTAAGGACCTAAAACAAATAATAAACTGCAGACCTATATTCGTACAGGAAATAACATGGAAACTCTTGGAACGCATGCTAAATAACATACTACAAGAGTTCCTGGCTAACCACAACAAACTCAACCCAAGACAACACGGCTTTAGAAGAGGTAGAGGAACCCAAACGGCAATAATAATGATAACAGAAATCATAGCCAGAAAAACAGCAAGGAAACCAAGTAAACGTAGTCTTAAGAGATGTAGCAAAGGCCTTTGATAAGGTGTGACACAACGAACTAACATATAAGATATAAAACTAGACCTACCTGCAGAAAAGAAAGAATCCTATGTGACTACCTCCAAAACAGGACAGCACAGCTACAAATTAGCAACCATTTAGGTCCACCCTTCGACCTAAAAGGCGGAGTGCTCTAGGGAGGCGTCCTATCCCCAACACTATTCGCCATATATACGTGCAACTTGCCTGAACCAACGCAACATAGCGAACACATCATCTTTGCCGATGACATCACACAAATCATATCATATCCCGGAAAATCAGAAGCAATGGTGGCACACCATACGGCCTTAGCAATAAATGACATAAATGACTAAGAAAAGAAATGGAAAATACGTACAAACATCAACAAATTTAAAATCATGCCAATTGCCAAGAAAAAGGTCGAACCAGTAATAGTAGATGAAGAAATTTACCCATACACCAACGAAGGCAGCATCCTGGGACTGAAGATAAAAAAAAATGGTTATCAGAGCTTCATCAACGAAAACATCCACAAACTATGCAACAAACTCTCAAAAATAAGAAGATTGAAAAACCTTATCATACCAAATAAAAAGAAACTATAAACGCCACTAATAAAATCAGTAATGTGCTACCCGACTGTACCAACCAACTCATTCAGTGCAACGAGAATCAAGAAATTTCAAACGGTACAAAATAAGAGCCTTAGATTCATATATAACATCAGTTACGAAAAAAGAGTAACAAACGAAGAACTCCATATAAGAGCCAACATCAAAGCAGTAAACGTAGACTTCAACAACCAAACCAAAAAAAATGGGAACAAGTTCAAGAGTTAGACTCAGAAACTGTAGTTAATTGGCTCGACAATGAACCAGTAAGAAGAGCAAGAGAAGAACATGCCTGGTTCAGATTAAGCAGAATAGGAGTAAATAATCCATCACCAGTACCCAAATACAACTCAAAATCATCAAATTTAATACAAAAACAAAAAGAACTGTATAGCTAAATAAATGCCATCAATTCAAGCTTCAATCTTTTAATTAAACAAAAACAAGATAGGACCACCTTCTTGAGAAAAAAGTAGCAAGTTGGATCCTACACCTCTTCTTAGAGTTTAAGCCTCCCTACTATAAACAAAAAGATTCAATTCTCTATAACAGAAAAAACGTTTCAGTAAAAAGATGAGACACTATCCTTGGCCTCTCCAACACTTGTCTTCTTGCCCCTTCCTTCCACTCTTATTAAAACAAAAGGTACGTTGCTCAGCCAGCTCCACAAGAACATGGCTAGAGGTCGTCACCTCTTCCTTGGAAGAATGGCTAGGGCAAAAATAAACATATTTACAACAAAATGAAAAAGGCTTGAGAGCTACTACCTAAATAGGCAAGATGTAAGTTCAAATATAATTATTATAACCTCAGCATATGTGGTTCCTTCAATTTTCCTCCCCCTTTTACCTCATTCCTAAACCAATCCCCTCCTTCCCCCCAATTACCACCAAAGTACTTCCAATCCTAATCCCTGCTCTCCCAACCAGCATTACAAGCAATAGCCCCTCTACCTTAACACCAGACGTCAGGTCAAGTCACCAGGGATAGGCTGAAAGAGAATCTAAGTCTTAGGTATATTCACCTCATGGCCAAGATGTGCATACGCATCTGCGTAGGTGTTCAGAATCTCCTATAGGTCGCTTAGAGTGTGAGCGACAAGGGTGATGTCATCTACGTACTGAAGTTCTATAATGGAAGTTGCTGACACCTTTGTTCCTGCCTGGAGTCGTTATTTTGAAAAGACCCTTCATCAGGTATTGGATATCCACCTCCCCGGCTAAATTGGCACTGGCTCGAGTAAGGAAGGCAGCCAAGAAAATGGAAAAGAAAGTTGGTGCCAGTACACACCCTCATTATGATCAAGACAAGGAGACGTATCTTAATGTTCTTAAACAGCCAAACGTTACTAAAAAGGACTTACCTCAGTAGTCTCCACAACCAAGCGTCGGTAAAGGGGACTTACCTCAAGAGTCTACACAACCTGGGGTTGGTAAAGCGGACTTACCTCAGGAGTCTCCACATCTAGGCGTTGGTAAAGGGACTTAGCTCAGGAGTCTCCACAACCAGGCGTCGGTAAGGGGACTTACCTCAGTAGTCTCCACAACCAGGCGCCGTTAAAGGGGACTTACCTCAGTTGTCTCCACAACAAAGCATCGGTAGAGAGAACTTACCTCAGTAATCTCCACAACCAGGCGTCGGTAAAGGGGATTGCATCAGAGAACTGGTTATAATAAATTTTTCTCTCCCATACTTCATCAAGGTCTGTCATTTCCGGCGAAACTTCTTCATAGTTGAACCAGCGGTAACTAAGAAAGTAAAATATTAGTTAGATGAGCAAGAACGACTGACATTCATTTGTGATGTACTATACGACCCTGTAAGGGCGGAAAAGATCTTCCTGCTCGTTTCCGTTGCTCACTCGCTCGTTTGCTGGCGTGACCCCTACCTGGGGGAGGGGGTTGGACGGAGGTGAGAACGTCGCTGCTACCAGTGTCACCAGCAGACATTACCTAGACTTCAAACCAAACACACCTCCTCCCCCTCCCCCGCTGCTCTTCCAAATTCTGGTGGTGTTCTCATCAAAGGCTCTGGACTCGTGAGCTGTGTTCCCAGATCTTCACCTATCGAATGTCAATCTCTGGACTCCTAACACTACCGCAGCTGCCACGACCACCAGCTCATCTCCACCGTCTGTGCCCCGGTGTTTCTCCTGTGAAGCAAGACATCGGCCGTCGAGGACAAGTGAGGAGCTGACTGGACCTTCCCCCTGAGAGTGAATCATTGCGTTCCAGAACCTTCCCCAGAGCCGCTGCCGTAGGAAATTTCTGTTAATTGTTTGATTCTATTGTTGTTTGATTCCATTAATTGCTGACTCCCTTTTATTGTTTGATTCTATCAGTTGTTGACTCCCATTAATTGCTTGATTCCATTAATTGTTTGATTCCATTAACTGTTGACTGCATTAATTGTTTGACTCTCGTAATTGTTAATTGATGTTTGTTGAGTGGTGTCAGAGTTTTGTGTTATATATTTATAGTAAAGAGGTTTCAATCTCAAACGGTTGTTTGCTATTCCTCAGAAAACCATGGTCCTTGACTCTCCTTTTATAAGATCCTGATTAGGCTGGTAAGGGATTTCTATCCCTAAGTCCCAGGTTCGAATCCTGGCAAGGTGGTCACCTGTAAAGGTCTGGTTTGAAGTCTAGGTAATGTCTGCCGGTGACACTGGAAGCAGCTACATTCTCACCTCCCTCCAACCCCCAAGTGGGGGTCGCGCCAGCAAACGAGCGAGTGAGCGGCGGTAACGACCAGGAAGATCGTTTCCGCCCTTACACAGCTCTCCCAACAAAAATCTACTGTAAGGTAGATTAAAACTTAAGATTAGTACATAAAGCATAATCATCTTACAACAAATGCTTAAATACATATAACAATATAAAGAAGGGTCACATAAAAAAAAAATAGGTGGTAACTTGATGTCCAAAACGTAAGGCCGTATCAAGGGACTGCACGTGGGATCCACTTCAGCCCAGGTTTAAGTTTGGGCCTATTTTCAGTCGTCAGGTGTTATCATCAACTGGTAACCGAGATCATCAGAGTTTGGCGCCCGAACTTCACAGGAACTCTTGCAGGGTAGTGCCTCGACTAACTCCAGCTTGGGAACGTCGTCAAGGATACGATCAATGTGGGTCCTGCAATTATATTTCCTTAACAAATTAGCTTGATGTAATTTAGGCTTCTTAGAGGAAGGGGGTGAGAACGGTCCAACAAAATCTATGGCTACCCGAGAAGATGGTTCTGCAATCACGGGTAAGGGTTCAAGTGGAACAGGACGGACTCTACCCTTGGCGGACATACGTGGGCACTGATCACAACTCCTACAAAAAGCTCTAATATCCGCTCCCATACCTGGCCAGTAAAACTGATCAGCAACCTTCCTGTAAGATTTCCTATGAGAACAGTGACTTGCTAGAAGGCTTTTGTGAGCTACAGAGAGAATGTTACTACGACATACAGCAGGGACAACAAGTAAAAACCGACCTACTTTGGCTGGTCGCTTGGATGACACACAAGACCTGTGTAACACCCCATTAATAGAAACAAACTTATAAACCAACCCATCTCTAACCTGATCCTCCTCCCCGGAAGTCACCTTCTCCCTTACCTGCTTCAGAGTGGCACATGAGTTTTAAGGCTTGGCGCTCCTTGGGCGTCACAGTCAGTGGCAACAAATTCGAAAGAATCAGGGGATGTGGTCGTTTCACCTTCGCCGTCCGTGTCTCTACAGCTTGGACCTTAGCTGCAGGCGTGGCGGCGTGTGAGGGTGGAGAGGCGACGTCGGCAGGTGGCGAGTCGTCGTTGTCAGCAGGTGGCGTGGAGACAGGTGCTGGTGGCGAGGAGACTGGTGCTGATGGCGAGGAGACTGGTGCTGATGGCGAGGGGGGTTTTAAAGGTTCCGGGTCGTTAGGGTCACGAACACAGGGAACATTACCAATGAGAACACTAGCAAATTTAATGGGAGCTCTTACCACATTAGACCAACCAGTGAAATAGGGTAACACCTAACAACAGGGAACTGGTCAACACGACCTAAATAATCGGTGACACTAACCTTCGGGCAGCTGGAGATGTCAGCGTCAGGCAGGGCTTCCTCAGAGACAATAATGCATGAGCAACCAGTGTCCCTGATGAAAGTAGATGCCCTAAACCCATTTATTGTTCCACTGACACAAAAACGGGGACAGCTCCTGTCCTCCAAACATAATTCGACCTTGTGGCTGGGCTGACGAGTGTCAGTAGACTTGAAGGCGAGGGGATTCCTGGGACCGAGAATGAATGTGCCCTTCTTCTCCGCAGCGGTGACACTGCACGGCTGGTGAACTACTCCTGTGTACTCCTGGGGATGGTTCCTCGGAGGACGGAGGCTTCGCAATCTTCACTATAGGAGGGGAAGACTTAGGGTAGGCGTTGCGAGCAGACGCCCAGTTGTCAGAAAGATGTACAGCTTCTCCAAGCGTCGCTGGCCGGTGTTCCTTGATGAAAATTCTCAAGTCTGGAGGTAGAGAAGACAAAAACTGATCTAATATCATGAAGTTAGAAAGAGACTCAAAGGTTTCTTCAACCTCTGATGTCTCCAGCCATTGTTGAAACAACCGACCCAGGTGGATCGAAAACTGCTGGTGCGTTTCTCCTGCTCTAATCTTCGTTCTGCGGAAATCAACACGATACCCATCAGAAGTCTTGTTAAATCCTCGCAAGAGAGCTTGCTTCAGCAAGAAGTAATCTCTGGTGATGTCGGCAGACAGGGACATGTAAATCTCTACCGGCTTACCACTCAGTAGGCTACCCAACCTTACAGCATAGCTATCTGGGTCCACACCAAGCAGCTCGGCTACCCGTTCAAACCTAACAAGGCGATGTCTTCTCCTTCACGATACACAGGCAAGCTTGGTTTTACCACATTACAGTACTGTATCTTGTATATGGCCAGAGGATTCTGGTCTACTTGAAGCATTAAGCTAGTTCTAGGCCCTTTTCTGCCTGCAACTTAGCTAATTCGAACTCTCTTTCTCTATTACGCTCCTCTCTCTCTCTCTCTCTCTCTCTCTCTATTACGTTCCTCTCTCTCTCTATTTCGTTCCTCTCTCTCGGCATTCTCTTGGGTGACCACATACTGACCAACCTCAGTACCTGTCAGACCCAGGGCCACCGCTTAACCTTTCAATTCCTCAAAACTAGACATAATGATCGGAAAGGCCAAAAGCAAAAATAAAAATAAACAACTTACCCCGCAAATAGCCAAAGGTAACTTACCTAGTGGCTCAAACAAACCAATAAATGATTTGATCCGACTGGAGGAAACCTTGTTCCGCACCCAGCCCAGTTAAATCACCTCAGGGAAAAAGAAAACACACCAGGTGAAACAACAACAAAATGCTATGACAGCATCCACAGTGCACCCCAACAAAGACTAATTAACTTCCCCAAGTACAAGGGAGAGCAACAAAACTAGCACAACAAAAGGAAGGGATAGCACTGAACAACACTTACTTCCGGGCCACAGACAGTAAGCGGCGCGCACACGGCGACTTACAACAAACACCGAAACGAATGTTAGCCCTCAGACACCAAAGGTCAGAGGCAATCCTGGCAAGGTCGCCACATGTAAAGGCCTGGGACTTAGGGATAGAAATCCCTTACCAGCCTAATCAGGATCTTATAAAACTCTGACACCACTCAACAAACATCAATTAACAATTACGAGAGTCAGACAATTAATGCAGTCAACAGTTAATGGAATCAAACAATTAATGGAATCAAGCAATTAATGGGAGTCAACAACTGATAGAATCAAACAATAAAAGGGAGTCAGCAATTAATAGAATCAAACAACAATAGAATCAAACAATGAACAGATATTTCCTACGGCAGCGGCTCTGGGGAAGGTTCTGGAACGCAGTGATTCACTCTCAGGGGGAAGGTCCAGTCAGCTCCACACTTGTCCTCGGCGGCCGATGTCTTGCTACACAGGAGTAACACCGGGGCACAGACGGTGGAGATGAGCTGGTGGTCGTGGCAGCTGAGGTTGTGTTAGGAGTCCAGAGATTGACAGTCGATAGGTGAAGGTCTGGGGACACAGCCCACGAGTCCAGAGCCTTTGATGAGAACACCACCAGAATTTGGAAGAGAAGCGGGGGGTGTCTGGTTTGAAGTCTAGGTAATGTCTGCCCGTCACACTAGTAGCAGCGACGTTCTCACCTCCGTCCAACCCCCCCAAATGGGGGTCGCGCCAGCAAACGAGATAGTAAGCAGCAGTAACGAGCAGGAAGATCGTTTCCGCAAGAAACATGAACATTGTAGTTTAACTTAGTTCAACTGTACGATGTGGGCGTAGAGCCGTTTGACATTTTGTTCCCCGTAAATCCTCCACTATTTTTTCTGTGTAGAATAAGCAGAATTGTGAGCATCATTTTTTTTCTCAGGATTCAATTTTACTAACTGAAAACCGACAAGAAGCCTATAGAAAGTAATCAAAGAGAATTAATATTGAGTTAAAATAAATGTACACATCTCTATTAAGTTACCCACATTCAAAGTGACTACGAAAGCATCCTCAAGAACCCAACAGTTTTCTTTTCTTATAACACTGGTATGTTGACTCTTGTCTCGAACAGTGACACGAGGATGTCAGTGCATGTCTTACATCACCAGGATGTCTCATAACACGATGTCCATCCTTGTCTCATAAAACTAAGAAGAGGATGTCTACACTAATATCACCCACAAGAATATTGACCTTTCTTTCG